TCCTGGGAATTCTCTCTCTCTCTGCTTCTGACACGGTGATCATATACATACCCTGTTTCCCCGAAAGTAAGACATCTCTTGAAAATAAGACCTACTTACAGTTTTGCCTCTCACTGAAATATAAGGCATCCCCCTGAAAATAAGACCTCCCAGAAAATAAGGCCCCCTGAAGCTACCTTAAGTCTGGACTGTAGCGGCGGGCACCGACGCGCTGCTCACTGTTGGCCGCAGCGCAGCCGGAGCAGACAGGAAGTGCGAGGTTCTTTTAATAAACAATAAATGTGTACCATATTCTTCTTCATGGAAAAATAAGACATCCTCTGAAAATAAGACCTAGCACATCTTTGGGAACAAAAATTAATATAAGACACTGTCTTATTTCGGGGAAACAGGGTAGAAGAATGGCTTTGCTGGAGGTGGGATTTTTGTCTTTCAGCAGACCGTATTTGAGCAAAGAGTGGTTAGTTGGTTTACCGCCTCTAGTATTGTGGAGATTCAAAAATATATCCAACCTTAATCCAGTCCATTGAGTGTGATCTACTGACCCTTCTCTACATAGGTGCCAGGAGACTGAACAATTGACCTGTAGCCAATCTGAGAAGCATTATTTTATTGTACGTGGGGCCTTACAGACAGAGACATAAAGTGCTTCTTTCAGTAAGCCATGAGCTGGAGAGAAACATTTTGCTGAGGGGGTATCATTCTGGGCCTATCTTTTATACTGATAGTGAGCAGACCAGGAGTGGGTCACTACTGAGACCCATCAACCACATTATGATGCTAATATGTCTAAGAAGTTTCTGTAACTCAAATCAAGGGGAGGGAGCAGGAAGCCTCACCGTGTCTCTGGCCTTGCTGTGATGGCCTGGCTCTCTGTGGGGAAGAGTATATTCCAGGTGGACCTGACGATATATGGGGGGGTGCCTGCTTAGCTGCAGCTGCTCTTTTTGGAGTACTGACCGATGTCCCTACAATGAGCATAACAGATAACTTGCTTCAAAATGGGATTATAGCCATAAGCATAGAGGATAGACTTCATGACAGGGTCATATTAATCAATGCATCCCAGGTCACTATGTTTCCATGCTATCCATGGGGTTTTCAGTGGCAAGTTCCTCTGAGATGGACAGCGTAATTCTTCTTTGTAGTCTGTTCTCAGTCTGGGAACCTGTTCACGTTGGGTGACCCTGATGGTATTTGAAATATCAATGACATAGCTTTCAGTATGATAGCAACACCCCAGCTACTACAGTACTACATAGTGGAGATCATCCAACCACATTGCAGAAACACATGGACCGGGAGCAGCTAGAGGTTCAAGCAGGATTCAGAAGAGGATGAGGAACAAAGGGTAACCCTGCTGATGTCAGATGGATCTTGGCTTAAAGCAGAGAATACCAGAAAGATGCTTGTGTTTCTATGCAAATCATTTGACTGTGTGGATCATAACAAACTATAAATAGTCTTCAGAAGAATGGGAATTCCAGAACACTTCATTGTGCTTATGCAGAACGTGTACGTAGATCAAGAGACAGCTGTACAAACAGAACAAAGGGATACTTCATAGTTTAAAATGAAGAAAGGTGTGCATCAGGGTTGTATCCTCTCACCATGTATTTAATCTGCATGCTGAGCAAATAATCAGAGAAGCTGGATTATACAAAGAACTGCACAGCAGGTTTGGAGGAAGGCTTATACACAACCTGAGTTATGCAGACGACCCAATCTTCCTTGCTGCAAGTGAGGACTGGAAGCACTTGCTGATAAAGAGCAAGGACTGCAGCCTTTGGTATGGAACACAACGCAATGCAAAGAAAGCATAAATCTTCACAACTGGACCAACAGATAAGTGATAAACGGTGAAAAGATTGAAGTTGTCAAGGATTTCATCTTGCTTGGTGTGTTAGTCTGGGTTGACTAGAGAAACAAATTCATAGACACTCATATGTGTATGGGAAAGAGATTTATATCAAAGAGCAATTGTATATTGAGAAAACATCCCAGTCCAGCCCAGATCCAGTCCATAAGTCTGATATTAGCCCATATGTCCAATACCAGTCTATATATTTCTCTTCAGACTCATACAACACATGCAATGATGCTGAATGTTGGAAGATCACAGGCCAGTGGGTGGAAAGTCTTGTGGATGCAGTGGGGGTGGAAGCATCTCAGTGCTGGTGTGGGTCTCCACGTGGCTCCTCCAGCTCGAGGGCTCTGGCTCCATCAGCGTAGCTCCATGTGGCTCATCAATAGGAATGTTTCTCAGGGGGATGAGCAGAGAGAATATCGGGCCTCCAGTGAGTTATTTATCTCTTTTGTGCCTCCAAATGAGGTCATCAAGCTGCAACCTGATTGACAGGCTAGACTCCACCTTTTCATTAGTTGACAGGCGATTATGTAACTGCCACACTTGGATCCACAATCAATGCTCCTGGAAGTAGCAGTCAAGAGATCAAAGGACGCATTACATTAGTTAAGTCTGCTGCACAAGACCTCTTTAAGATGTTGAAAGGCAAAGATGTTACTTTGAGGACTATGATGTTCCTGATCCAAAGCCATGGTATTTGCAATGGCCTCATAGGCAGGTGAAAATTGAACATTGTATAAGGAAGACCAGAGAAAAATATCTATACATTTGCTGGAGACGAATATTGAAAGTGCCAACAGAACCAATATCTGCTTTGGATGAAGTACAGCCACAATGTTCCTTAGAGGCAAGGGTTACAAGACTTGGTCTCATGTATTTTGGACATGTTACCAGGAGAGACCAGTTCCTGGATCAGGACATCTTTCGTGGTCAAGTGCAGGGACAATGCAAAAGAGGGAAGCCCTCGGCGAGACGGATTGACACAGTGGCTGCGACAATGGGCTCCAACATAAGAACCACTTTGAGGATGGCACAGGGCTGAGTGCTGTTGTGTTTCATTGTGCATTGAGTTGCTGTGAATGAGAGCCAACTCTACAGCACCCAGCAACAACAAAGACAAGGTCACTATGAGTTGGGACTGTCTTGAGCTCGCACCTGATGGCAACAAAATTACATAAATTAAGGAAATGGCTCATGTGGTGGTAGAGGTTGGTTGGCAAATTTCAAGGGGATTAGAAGTCAGGCTGGAGGGTTCTCCTGACTCACATAGCTACATGAACCTAACGTCCGCAGGTGGCAAGCTGCTGGCTCAACTTGAATGAACTGAAGGTCAGATGATGGCAGTTAGATGCAGCATCCAGATCTAGCAAAAGGCAGGAGAACTTTGCCAAAATATCGAGATTTATCTATTGATTTATCTATCTGAAGCAGGCCACATCACTGAGGAAAATCCCTTTTAATTGACTAATTGATTGGCTGCTCATAGCAGACCTCATTCCAGAGATGAATATATCAGATCTTCATGGGAGATAACTACATCATAACTGCAAAACTACTGAAGATTACAGCTCAGCCAATTTGACACACACCTTTAACTACCACAACAACTTTCTAGCAGAATGCTTCTCAAAGTGTAATATGGACACACGTCTCTATAAGATCTTGCAAAAATGTAGATTCTGATTCAATGGTTCTAGTTGTCTAACAAGCACCTAGTAATACTAATCTTCCTAGTCCAAGGACCACACTTGAAGCAGTAAACATTTTTTCCCCAACCTTACAAAGTTCTCTATGAAAAAAGTTTTAGTTTCCCCAACTTTACGAATCTGGAAATTGACAGTTAAGGTGATTACTTATTAGTTCAAAGTCACAGTTCATGTCATAGTGGAGCAGGGACTCAAACTCAGGTCTGTGTGATTTCAAATATCTGTAGTACATTTCCTCTAGGATGATTGGAGAGAGACGAAGCACTTAAGGACTCAGTGAAATGGGCACATTTGGTGATGGTTTGGTCTTGACCTTCTCAGTAGTGTTGGGGGGGAGGTGACGATACAGGAATGGAACTTGGGCCAGTGGGACTTTATGGTTTAGTGTGAGATGGGGGCAAAAGGGGCCGGGGGGAAGGGAGTATTTGAGGTATCAGTAGGAGGGATAAAAGGGCTTATTAACATCAAGAAAGACTTAGCTAAAATTTGGGTAGATTGGATTTTCTAAATTGCTAAATCACTGTTGCCCAAACTTTTCTATAGTTTAAATCACCTGGGGATCATTAAAAAATTTAAATCCCAGGTTACAGCCAGACCAATCAAATCGACATCTCTGTTATTAGGACACAAATGACCCTGGTTTTAAAGCTACCCAGGTACTTCTAAAGTGCAGGCAATTTTGAGGACCATTCCTATAGATTATTTGCTCTGAAAGCTAAAGGAGCAACATCTTTAATGATTTATAAAGAACCCATGAACATCAAATATGTAATGGCATAGTCCAGGGGCCAGAACTCTTTTTCTGTATATAGCAAGATTGTAACATTTTAGGTTTTGCATGTTCAGAAGCAAAATTGGGGATACTGTGTAAATATTGGCATAAGGAGAGAAGACAATCCCAGTTGGTTTAATTGTTAAAATTAAAAATTTTACTTTAAATTTCATGTAATTTTACATGCTTTGAAATGCTGTTTCGTGGATTGTGATTGCACAACTCATTTTAAGGGCAATTTAACCATGGGGGAGGGGTGTCCTCTAAAATTGTTGTGGTGATAATTATACAATTCTCCTTGATCCGATTGAACAACTGAACTACTGAATCGTGTGATACAAAACTGCTAAAAAATTACAAGAAAGCCCCATCCCAACTATTTAAAAATGTAAAAATTATTCTTTGCAGGTGAGTTGTATGCAAAGAGGTGGGCTGCATCAGACCTATGGGCTGTCGAGTTTGCTGAGGACCAGTCTCAGTAACGGTGTCTTAGATGACGCTGCGGAGGAAGTTGGAGCAGGTCACGCGGCGGGGAAGGCTCTGGAACACCGGGGTCAGCAGACCCGCGGGGAGGGGCGGGGGCCGTCCAGTCCTGGGAAGGGGTTCGCCTCCGTCCACGTCGCCAAGGCCTAGTCGCCAAGGCCGTGGCCCCGCCATGGCCTGCCAGTCGCAGGGCATCCAGCAGCTGCTGCAGGCAGAGAAGCGCGCGGCGGAGAAAGTGGCCGAGGCCCGCAAGCGCAAGGCCCGGCGGCTGAAGCAGGCCAAGGAAGAGGCCCAGGCGGAGATCGAACAGTACCGGCTGCAGCGCGAGAAGGAGTTCAAGGCCAAGGAGGCGGCTGCTCTGGGCTCCCACGGCAGTTGCAGCACCGAAATGGAGAGAGAGACCCGGGAGAAGATGACGGTCCTCAAGAACTTCTTCCTGCACAACAGGGAAGAAGTTCTGGACAATCTCCTGGCCTTCGTGTGCGACATCCGGCCGGAAATCCATGAAAACTACCGCCCATGCGGATAGGGAAGACAGACCCTTCTGGTTCGGCGGACTGGCAGTTTCGATGACGTCATGTGCACCATGAAGCAAAACGAGAGCTGTACTCCTGTGATAAGGCATTAAACGACTTATGTGTATTATATAGTGGGTCCCTTCGTGTTCCTTTTAGTATTATTATTATTTTTTGAGAATAACAAACTTAATTTCCCTGTAGAAGCTTCGAACGTGTCTTGCAGACATTGTTTTTATTCTATGCATTTTAAATCAAGTAACATGTATAAGAATACTTTTTTTTTTTAAGATCTAGTACAAAGCTCCTCATAATGCTTAGAAGAAAGCAATGGTTTAACACCACCAACAACAACAACAAAAATCCCCCTGAAAAGCTTCCTTGCAAGTCAGGCGCTTGGTCAGGAGAGAGTATCCTGTAACTGTGTAAAGCAGCAGGTAGTTTAAAAGTCATCCTTCGTGGGGGAGGGTGAGCACCAGGATGACTACTTTGGTGGTTTCGGCTGTTTTTAAGTTTCCAAATGGTCACCGAGACCAAACCAAATACCCCCACAGGGTAGAATTCACCATCATGCTTTATCTACACTCTCTCAGTTTCCTATTGCTGCTGCAACGCAAATACCAGTGGGTGACTTAAAGAAGAGAAATTTGTGTCCTCCCAGTTTTGAAAGCTGAAAGTCCAACCAGCATCTCTGCCTTGCCCACGCTTTATCTATAGCTCCAGGATTTCCCTGATTCTTCTCAGGCGACCCTAACTTCCTATTGTGTGCTATGTCTCCATGTCTAATCTGCTCTTTTTCTAACTCTGAAGTGCTTCAATGTAGACACACCCAGTTCAGTATGTATGATCAAATTAACACACGAAACTGTTTTCAAACAGGTACAAGAGCCTGACGTGTTTTTGAGCCCATTCCGACGTGTGTACGACAGAAGGCAGCAGGGCCGGGACCCACACATGCTCACACTTGTTGCTGGTTCGAGCTCATTAGTGTAGCCACCATGTCAGTCTATGTCCTAGATGGCCTTCCTCTCCTCCTCATCCCCTACAATTCAATCCACCGCGTAGGAAGATGTCTTAATGTACTGGTACCCACTTAAAGGCTTTGTCAAGGGGATGAAAATCTATTTAAATGAAAGCAAGTCAGTACTTTGAGTCTCCTACTTGGTCAACCATAAAACTGGCTTTAAAAATATAATTGTACTCCCTAAGGATAGTATGTGAATGAAATCTATATTTTGAGGTAAAGCCTCCTGAATTTTACCCCACTGTTTTTCATCACAAATCCAAACTAGCTAGCTGCAAATACATGACTTACCTGGGGCAGGAGGGCTGGAAATGGTTTAAAACATCTTTTAAAAATAGATAAGATTTTGATATTATTTGAAAACATCTTGGTGTTGAGCAACATGTCAGTTGTCCCCAGGCTCCAAATGTAAATGTAAACCCCCGGTTTGCATAGGGGACCCCTTTATATTTTCGATTTTGTGTTCCTCAATACAGAGTTAAAAACAAAAAAACACCCCGCCCCCCTGCAGTTTTGTGGAGTGACTGTTTTTCATCAAGTGGATAGTCTGGAATACTTTAGAGAAGTTATAAACATTATTCTACACTCGAGGTATGCTGCACTTAGACCACCTGAATTATTGCATAAATAACTTGAGATAAAGTGTTTCATTAGGAAAAAGCACACTGGACAATGTAAATTTTTGTAGAAACTGACTCCTCAGTTTTATGATCTGGAGATCCAAATATTGTACTTGTAATTCACACACAAATGTATGTATGTATGTTTGTTTTTAATTCTTCCCATAAGTTACTAAAACGTCGAAAGCACCACCATTTGGAGCTGCTCTGTCTCGAGTCTTTGCCAGACATTGAAGGGAGCCCTCTACTGTCAGTTTTATTTATTACAGCAAAATTTGATTCAGACTCCTCCGTGCCCTTCGTTGAACTTCTGAGCTGTTTAATGTTGCTGCTATGATGGTACATGTTGTATAACAAAGAAACCATCAATTGTGTGAGAACAGCTGGCTTCGCTAATGATCCGTCAGTTCTGCCCTTTTTGAAGTGTACCTTCGTGTGGGAACATCTGGCGGTTTCCAATTTCCCTCTTGGAGTGGGGTTTTGACCTCTATTTCACTTTTAAATGGGTCTCTTTGGTAGGATAACTCTGCTTTCTCAATTAACTTTACCTTCCACACCTTTTACAGTCAATAAGAGGCATTAAGCCTAATACTTTAGAAGGGAATTGTGCAATTTCCAGAGGAAGCTCTCCCCAGATCCTGAATCACCTCTGTTAGTCTCCTAGCCCGTAACTGTGAATCACACTCCTTGGAGCACTGAAAACCAAGCAAACCCACCCAAAAACACCACTACACGTTTTGTATCTGAGGAGGACTTACTTATCCTTTCAATCATAGAGGTAAAGTCTACATGAAAAACCCCTCCAACTCTACTTCCAGCTAAAACTGGTGCAGCATCACCCAATGGGTGCAGCCCTCTGGAGGGGAAGCAGGGAAGTCTAAATGAATAACCCCTCCAACTCTGCTATTTCCAGCTAAAACCTCTGGTCCAGCATTACCCAGTAGGTCCAGGGCTCTGGAGGGGACGCAGGGGACACACCGTTATTGTGTGGCTGCTACATGCATGTGCGGTAGTAGATATACGCACTTTCATCTTTGTCTTCATCATGTTTTCCCCAGATCATCTATGTCCATCTTCCATCTGCCGTAGTCATCTTCTTTCTCCAGTGAGACTCACACTTCGCCTTTCCCCTTTTAGTGGCGTCACAATATCGACATGCCAGCAGGCTCAATACTGGGGAAGACTGTCTTTCATCTCCATTTCTAAGCTTACCCTTGTGCTGTTCTACCCCAGACCACCACTGGTTCTCATCACTTTCCAGCTAAATGGCTGTTTTAGTGCTTTTACTATTTATTTTCTGCTTCCAGCCTCCTTTCCTTCTAATTGTTGAGCATGTTCCCAGCACATCAACTTCACAAGGATGCTCTTTTTTCAGTGCTCAAAACTTTGAGAATACTTGCAACGCTTCTCCACTACTCAACATGTGTTTTTTTTAAACTGCGACAAACAGAAAAATGTTAACTTAGATGTTATGGACAGCAGTTACACTACAACAATGAAATTCTGCACACCCAGCACGGACAAAATAATGGTGTGTGCAGAAAAGTAGTTGCACATAATAAATGGTAACTACATTAGTAATCTTCATGTAAGTACTTGCCATGCAATAATCTTGGGCTATTTTTTAACTGAGAAGAAATAAAGATTTGAAGGAGTAATTTTAGAGACTTCCATTGACACCGAGATGATTTTTTTTTAAGGTGCCTTCAGGTCCTTTTCGACTCCGGGCCACCTTATGGACGACTGGGCAAGCGCTGCCCTGTCCTGCTCCGTGCTCGCATTGCTTCACCACGGCGTCAGCCCATCTCACGCAGGGTCTTTCTCTTTTCCACTGCCCTTCTACCTGACCCAGCAGGAACTGCCCTCCTCTGATCCGCGTCCAAAGTACATGAGAAAAGTCTTCACAGCCTCGCTCCTAAGGAGCATTCTGGTTGCATTTCTTCCAAGACAGATTTGTTTGTTCTGGCTGTGCAAGGTACTTGCAGTATTCTACGCCAACACCGTAATTCCAATGTGTCCCTTCTTGGGTCTTCTCAGAGTGGGTTATGTTAAGAATTTTACCCAGATAGTCTGAGTCCTCACAGTTGACTTGCCCTTTCTAACCCAATGTGCTCTTCACAAGGTCTAGTCCCATCAGGGCGACCCGCTCCCGGCCTCCCTCTTCATTTCCACAGCAGAGCGCACATTTTGGGCTTCATGCTTTTTCATTCTGTGCCTGAAGTGTGTTATGTCTCTCTATTTGTCAAGACCCAACTCCCATTAGAAATACTAATATCTCCATTGATTCTCTTGTTGTACGGCCAACATTGAGGTGAGATTTTTTGGCTACCTGTTGGCACTTGTACCAGGGATTGCAATATATGATTATATTTAATATGACTCTGGTGTGTATTCTCTTAGTGATTCTCACAAGCGTATGTGCTTCTGAGGAGAGGTATATAGAATCATATTTCACACTGGAGTACGGTAGCCTTAGTGAAAAGATAGCAAGTTTTAGTGGCTTAAATTTGCTGACATTCTTTTTCTTCTTCTTTAGGAAGGAGCTCATGATACCTCTTTCATTTTGACACCTGAGGCTAAAATGAAATGATATGAAAATTGCTTCCAAGCTTTCAAGCTCATTAGCTATCATTATTATGATGCTTCTCCCTCTGAGCAATCAGCAAAGAGAGTCCCTGCCACAAGGAGGAAAGAAGAGTCTCTTTGAAGGTACGTATCGTGGCAGAGGGGGAGGTTGAAGTCGACATCCTTGGCTCAGTCTGCATCTCTCCCATCCACAGAGCGTCCATCTCCGCTCCTGCAAAGCCTCTCCCAGCAGTCATCTGTATTTATCCTCTGCACGCTGGCAAATAAAAGATGTCCTCATTGTTTAAACCAATAGCTAGTTTTCAGTCCTCATTCTGGGAGAGATGACAAAAGAAAAGGCAGGTTTCACTACATTGTAATGGAAGGCACCGGGACATCAGCAAAGTCCATAAGACTGAAAGGCAAACAAACACTGGAAAGGTCTTTACTATGTCTTTTACATTAATTTTATTATTTCCAGTACTAAACATTCTAAATAACCTAGAGACAAGCACCATAATAAAACAATGGGCAAATGTCTCAGACAGAGACCACTGAAGAAATAAAGGTAACAGACAGATAAAACAATGCTGTCTTTTTATTAAAAACTAGGTGCCAGGAGTCAATACCAACTTGTGGCAATCCTAAGGGTCAGAGTAGCTTGTGCTCCAGAGGGTTTCCAAAGAGTGACGTGGGTCGGGGTGGGAGGTTGGGGATGGAGTGGGAGCAGTAGATCACTAGGAATTTTTTCTGAGCGGCCTTTAGATAAATCCTCCAACTATTCAATAAATGTTCACCATTTGCA